TCCTTCTTGCTCACTTCGTTGGGATATATGATACGGCTGATCTGGTACTAGTGGGCTTCATGTGTGTTACGGGTCAACGGTGGTCCAACCGCCAGCCAGCCATCCACCCACATCAGTATTGTATTGGTCACCGCGTGATCCAGCCAAATTCTCACTCTGGTCAAACCAGAAATCGCCGGTCAATCGCACAGCTGACCCTGCCACCGTAGCTACGTACCTTCTATCCACAACAGAAGGAAAAGAAAAAGTACATTAATAAAACAAATCAACTAGAAGAACCTCCCTCTAATTTCCCATTTGCGTACTATTCAACGCCTTGCAGATTGGATCAGAATCGGAAAAGGGCTAAAAAAGAAGCATTTTTTTTTACAAAAAAATAATCTTATATTGATCCAAAAAGTAGATAGTTACATCCGGGAACACAGTCAGGTCTGAAAATCAAAAGAACGACTCATAGCCGGATACAATGAGAGGGCTTGACGAGCCACCATATGGGCTACCCTATTACTACGCCGACCGACAAATCGAACATGAAACCCAGCATTGCTATTAAAATAATGCAGCAGTTCCTCCAGAATAGCACCAACTCGGTTATCTCTGGTATCCGCCTGATTGATCTTATCAATAAGCACTTTAGCATCACCTTCAAACTGCACCTCCGACAGTCCAACCGCCGAGCACCACAGAACAACTTCCCCGAGGACAAGCAACTCCACCACCATAGGGTCATCTAGACAAGGAAACTGAATCCCTCTAACCAGCCAAACACCTCTCGTAGGAGTTAGAAGAACTATCCCACCAGCCGAATGCGATCCCCTTCTTACTGCCCCATCCCACATACAAACAACACTATCCTCCCTAGCAAGACCGACTGGATGCGCCCCCGGGGGGACCCGCCACAAAGGGCATATCCCTGGGAACCCTATCCATAGGCAGTCGGGTCCACTCCTCATACTGTTGATGGAACTGACGCATCAAAGCGGGAAACCCGAACTGCTTTCCTTCAAAAACAACCCAGTTCCGCGACCGCCATATCCGCCAAAGGATAGCCACCACAGCCATAAAGAGAGTAGGTTGGTTAAGCAGGGCCAGAAGCCTCTTCAGGAACATAGGGAAGGTATGCCGCGGGAGCCCCTCCCCCAGATACTCCAGGCCAGAGTAATCCCAAAGGGCACGAGCCACAGGACACTCCAAGAACAAATGCTCCAATGTTTCAGCACCAGTCCAACAAACCGGACACCTGGGGTGCACTGGGACATGCTTTTCAATGAGGGCCTCAGTGGTAGGCAAGACGCGATGGAGGATCTGCCAGACAAAGATCTTGAGCTTTGGAGGGATGTTCGCATCCCACAAACGCACCTAGGACTCCTTATCCATCCAACCAACCGTTGATCGCCAGCCCCCCTTCCTCCTATTAGCGTCAACAGCTAAATGGTAAGCGGACTTAACCGTGAAGACCTCATCCGCCGTACCGTGCCAGATTAACCTATCCGCTATATTCTGCCTGGGGAGGGGAATCGTTTTAATGGCCTTACAGGTAGGCGGATAAAACCATTAACATAACTTGCGGTCATCCCAGCACCCCCACCTGGATACATAACCTCCGCAACAAATGGGTCCCCCCCCCCCTCCTCAGGCAGAACCCTAGGGTTATAGCAAGGGGGGTCATTCTGGAGTAAAGGAATCTAGCGAGAGTTAAGTAAAGACGCAGTTTGTCCATTGCCAATTTGCCACCTTAAACCCTGTGTTAATAAGTCCCTACCAAAGAGGATACTTTGCCATCCCCATGAAGGACAGGACCGGGCTGAGGCACCAAGAAACGACCCAGTGGGGAAGTATTTGCCTTTGTAAACCTGTGCCAAAAGGGATTGAGGTTCCATAAGGATACGCCACCCAATCTTGGCCAGCAAAGCCTGGTTGAATTGTTCAAACCGACGAAATCCCAATCCCCCCTCATGTTTACTACGGCACAGATTTCGCCATGACACCCACCGAAGTCGAACATGATCCTCCGCATCACCCCACCAAAACCTGGCCACATGCCTATCCAAAAGTCGACATAGAGACAGCGGAAGCTTAAAACAGGACATCACATGCAACGGCAGTGCCATAGCAACTGACTTAATCAAGGTCTCTTTAGCAGCTCACGACAAGGTCTTCTGCTTCCAACCCTGGAGGCGTTCTAGCAGTTTCTCTTCCAAATACGGGAAATTAGCCATCTTGGATCGAGCAATAAGTGTTGGCAGCCCAAGATACTTATCATGGACCCCTACCGCTCCAACACCCAATACAGATGCCAGGAATTCCTGGTCTGCTTAGACAATATTCCTAGTGAAGCAAACAGCCGACTTGGCCAAGTTCACTCGTTGGCCACTCAACTCCTCATACTCGTTCAGGACCTCAATCAAATTTTCACACTCCCGGAGAGTACCTCGCAGAAATAAATACGAATCGTCAGCAAAAAACAGGTGCGAGATCCGTGGCGCACGAGGAGCCACTTTAATCCCCTCCAGTCTTTTTCTCCGAAATGGCCTTGCGAAGCAGGGCCGCAAAACCCTCAGTGCAAAGCACGAACAAAAGAGGTGAGAGAGGGTCCCCTTGCCGTAACCCCCTGGAAGGAGTGAAATATCCCGACGGAGTCCCATTCATAAGAACAGAAAAGGAAGAGGATCGGAGACACTCTCGAATCCACCCTTGCCAGATAGAGCTAAAGCCCATCCTATCTTAAACCGCGAGGAGAAAGGGCCACTCAACTCTGTCATAGACCTTTTCCATGTCAACCTTCAGAGCCATGAACCCTTTCTTACCCCGCTTTTTTATTTTTAGATAGTGCATTAACTCATGCCCGAGGAGTATATTATCAACAATTTGACGTTCACGAATGAACGCATTCTGACCCTCCGAGACAATTTTAGGCAAAAGGCAGGCGAGCCGCTCCGCCAGAATCTTAGCGATGATTTTATACACAAACTGGCATAAACTGATTAGCCGCAGCTGCCGCATAGACTCCACGTTATCGACCTTGGGGATGAGTGTGAGCCAGGTATGGTTGAAACTACGGAGCATCCGACTCGTAGCAAAGAAGGAACACACCGTCGCAACAACCGAATCACCCACAATATCCCAAAAAGCCTTAAAGAATTTACCCGTGAATCCATCAGACCCTGGCGCCTGCTTGGACCCCATTGCAAACACCGTTTTACGCACCTCGGAGGGGAGAACTTGAGCCGTAAGACTGTTATTCATCTCAGGGGTAACACTACGAGCAATAGGCAAAGATGCCACCCGCTCAGCCATGTTACCCACCAGATTCTCCGATGTAAACAGGTTTTGATAGAAGGACGAAGCAATACCAGCTTTACCATTCTCATCAGTAACCCAGTCCCCATTCTCATTGCGAAGGCCAGCCACAAAGTTTTTTTTTACGCCGAACCCTAGTCACTGTATGGAAGTAGGATGTATTCTTATCCCCTTTCTTTAACCAGTGCACCATGGACTTCTGCTGCCAATAAATTTCCTCCGCCTCCCATTGCCTGTTCAATTCCACCTCCAACTCCCTGACCGCATCCCAATCAATGGGGTGGATTGCCTTGACCCTATCAATTTCACCCTGGAGGGTACGAATATTCCGCAACGAGTTAGTAGTGCCTGCTCTACTCCAGTCATACAAGAGATGACGAATTCTCATAAGGCGTTCCCAGAGGCAGAACATAGGGGTACCCTGAATATCCTCTTTCCATACATAGGTTACCATAGCCCTAACCTCGGGATTATCCGCCCAACGGGCATCAAAGCGGAAAAGAGGGCGGCTACTCCTAATATAAGGCTTATCAGACAGGAGGAGAGCTCTATGATCAGAGCCTTGATCTGTAAAGTGTTTGACCAAGGTATCGGGAAACCGATCAATCCAGGGCTGGGAGCAAAGGGCTCTATCCAACCGTTCACGAATGCAGGCACTCCCCATCCTTTTGTTCGTCCAAGTGAAAAGGTCCCCTTGGTAGCCTGGATCATGGAGACCCAAGTTGTCAATAAATTCACGCAAACTGGTTGAATTATTAGCATTCCAAGGATTGCCACCATCCTTTTCACCCACACTAAGGATAGTATTAAAATCCCCAATAACCACATAGGGGAGCTGGAAAGTCGAACAAATTTCCTGGAGTTGGGCTAATTGGGCAGTGCTCATCAAAGCAGAACAACTAATATAAACACAAACCACGCCTCATTATTTCGTAGAATCTTCGACAAACAGCTTCCAAGAAAGACTAGAGAAATAGTGCGCTGAAATGCGGAATTCCCCACACTCTATTGACTAACTTACTCTTCAGTCCCTCATACTTTTTAACCTGATAACTTAATCATTAAATTTTGTTTTTCCCTTCAAATACAAAAATAGGATGAACAAATTGTGAAATTATAAAAAAGCTGCAAGTTTATGATTTCCCCCAAGTGTACTCTTTATCATGCTATAATAAAGTTTTAAATATGTGAGAAACTTAACTTCTTTAATAATTTAACTATATTAATCATGATATAGTTAGTTTCTCCGCTTATTAAAGAAAAAAGAAAAAATTCCAAGTATTTTTTTCTTTTCTGAACTACACTATCATATGGGTCTTGCCAAATATTATTTTTCTTTATATTGCTACTCATATTGGTCGTCCCAATCCGACCGAATATAAATATAAAATTTGAACCTGACCTGTCACAAAACATATATAGATATTTCGATATCCACTCCATCTTCATTGTCAATTTGTCATTCCTAATTTGTAGGTAGAAACACACCAAACAATGGGGACCAAAGAGTAATTAGGAGAATAAAGGCCATTAAAAAAGAAAGTTAGAAGGTTCTTTTCTTCTTCTTTCTTCTCCTGGGAGTAGTTTGACAACTACAATTCAAAACCATGCAAACCTACCAACGTTGAAATTATAAAGGGCCAGGAGGAGAGACGAAAAGAAGGCAACTAACCCGCGCCAAAAAAGCACCTCTCTCTCTCTCTCTCTCTCTCTCTCCCTCCCTCTAGAACCCAAATTGATTACATCATTATAATAATCACAGGCACAGCCCACCCGTTTCCACGCCACATTTCACCGCCCAAATTCAATTTTACCAACTCCCTTTCTTCGTCATCTTCCCCATCCACTTTCATTCATTAATCTCCCACCAGTTCCCACTTCCCATAATCCCCAAAATCACACCATGAAATCCCCAAACCAAAAGTACCACCCGCCCACCGCCACCATGCATCTCAACCGCCTCTGCATCGTCCTCCCGACCACCGACTTCGACGATCAATCAGACACCACCACTCATCAAATCCCGGCCGACCTCAAGTTCCCACCGCCCGGCCAGAAGAAGCACCACCGTGGCTGCGGCCACCAGATTGTTTCCCTGGTCGGCGGGACGGTCAGGCGGATTTACGGGTCCAAATGGGTCAGTTCGTGTCATAATGACCCTGACCCGGACCCGGAGAAACGACACCGAAAGAAGGGGTCTAGGATGGGATCCGGTGCGTTTCATGACTTGGAGGGAGTCCAAATTGGTGACGAGCGGGTCGGGTACGATAACCCGCGGATCTTCAGCTATTCGGAGCTTTACATCGGGTCGAAGGGGTTTAGCGACAAGGAGGTGCTGGGGAGCGGCGGGTTCGGGCGGGTTTATCGAGCGGTTCTCCCCAGCGACGGGACTCTGGTGGCGGTGAAGTGTTTGGCGGAGAGAGGGGAGCAGTTCGAGAAGACGTTCGCGGCGGAGCTTGTGGCCGTCGCTCATCTCCGCCACCGGAATCTCGTCCGGTTGAGGGGATGGTGCGTGCACGAGGACCAGCTGTTCCTGGTCTACGACTACATGCCCAATCGGAGCCTCGACCGGGTTCTGTTCCGGAAATCCGAAAACCTAGCTGCGGCGGGGGAGGAATTTGCCCCGCCGATTCTCGATTGGGAGCAGAGGAAGAGAATCGTGGGCGGATTGGCGGCGGCGCTCCACTACCTCCACGACCAGCTCGAGACCCAGATCATCCACCGCGACGTGAAGACGAGCAACGTGATGCTCGATTCCAATTACAACGCCCGCCTCGGCGATTTCGGGCTGGCGCGGTGGCTGGAGCACGAGTTGGAGTACGGCGGCGTCAGGACGCCGTCGATGAGGAACCACCAGTTCCGGCTGGTAGAGTCAACCCGAATCGGCGGTACGATCGGGTACCTGCCGCCCGAGAGTTTCCAGAAGAGGGGCCTCGCCACGGCCAAATCAGACGTTTTCAGCTTCGGAATCGTTGTTCTGGAGGTCGTCGCGGGGAGAAGAGCGGTGGATTTGGCTTACCCGGATGATCAGATTGTTCTGCTCGATTGGGTCCGGCAGCTTTCCGACGAAGGGAAGGTTCTCCAGGCTGGTGACACGAGGCTTGAAGATGGGTCTTACCGCTTGATCGAAATGGAAAGAATGATCCATCTGGGCCTCCTCTGTACTCTCCACAGCGCTCAGTTTCGCCCGAATATGAAGTGGGTAGTGGAAGCACTCTCCGGGGGGAACTCCGGCCACAAATTGCCGCCGCTTCCTTCTTTTCAAGCCCATCCACGCTACATATCGATCTCCTCCGGAAGCAACACCACCGCCACCAACAGCAGCTCCAGCGGGACTACGACAACAACACGGAGCAGCAGAAGAAGCTCCAAGTCCACAACAGCAAGGGTAATTTCAATCTCGGCTACTTATGCTACGGCTGTAGGGGAAACCATATATGAAACGGCGGAGTTGGACACTACTAGTAGTAGTAGTGTTGATGGTAGTGATGTTGTTGGTACTTTCAACAACAATAGAAGTTCTATGTTTGGTAGCCGAAGATGCTGTTCTGCTTCTTCCTTTATGGTGGAAACTCCGAGGGAGATCTCATTCAAGGAAATCGTTACTGCGACCAACAACTTCTCCGACTCGAATAGGCTAGCGGAGGTTGATTTTGGCACTGCTTACTATGGTATCCTTGAAGATGGCCATCAAGTTCTCATAAAGAGGCTCGGAATGACACAGTGCCCTGCACTAAGAACTAGGTTCTCTGCCGAGCTTCAGAATTTAGGCAGGCTGCGCCACCGCAACCTGATCCAGTTGCGAGGATGGTGCACCGAGCAAGGAGAGATGTTGGTCATCTATGATTACTCCCCTAGCCGCCTGCTCAGTCACTTGCTCTTCCACCATCGCAAGCAGAAGATTGGTAGCAGCAGTGAAAGTCAGCTGATAACTCTGACATGGAGACACAGGTACAACATTGTGAAGTCACTAGCCTCGGCGGTTCTTTACCTTCATGAGGAGTGGGATGAACAAGTCATCCACAGGAACATAACTTCAGCTTCGGTTATTCTCGATCCGGACATGATGAACCCAAGGCTGAGCAACTTTGCGCTCGCTGAGTTCCTCCACAGGAATGACCATGCTCATCAAGCAGCAGCCTCGGCGACCAAATCGGTCAGGGGGATCTTTGGATACATGTCGCCGGAGTACATGGAATCAGGTGAAGCAACGACGATGGCCGATGTTTATAGCTTTGGCGTGGTGGTGCTTGAGGTGGTGAGTGGGCAGATGGCGGTCGATTTCAGGCGACCCGAGGTGCTGCTGGTTAATCGGGTAAATGAGTTTGAGGCACAAGATAGAGCATTGGAGGAGCTGGTGGATGTGAGGTTGGACAAGGAGTATGATCGCAAGGAACTGATGAGGCTAGTGAAATTGGGCAAGGCATGTACGAGGTCTGATCCTCATCTAAGACCGAGCATGAGGCAGATAGTGAGCATTCTAGATGGTAATGATCAATGGCTGCGGCTGGTGGAAGGAGGTCAGCAGAAGAATGAGAGCAGGAAGGAATGGAGAAAGAAGAATGCTTCTTCCTTGTCATTGGTTAAGCGAGTCCAGGCTTTAGGAATCCAATGATGCGTAGCAACTAGCAGGCAGTAGTATGTATGTAGAGAAAACCTGGTGATTTCGTTTCCTTGCTCCTGTGTTTTTTTCTTTTTTTTGTTTGCTGTTCAGTTTCTGTAACTTCTGTGTATCATATGTTTGAATGTAGTTAGAGCCTTCGGTTTTGTGAAACAATGGTCACCATAGTACTGTATGATTTGAACTTAACAAAATCACTTGCAAAGACACGAAAAAAGAACATGAAGAATGTTCCATTCAGGGGAATCTCTGGTCTTGTTCATCATTAGCAGCATCAATGCCAACCCATTGAATCAGCGCAAACAGAAACTCCCTGAAGCTAACCTTCTCATTCCTGTACCGGTCCATTTCCTCTGGCAGTCACGTGAATCACTCTCACGGTCTACGTCAACAAACCACAAAGTAAAGGAGGGAAATAGATCGGATTCATTTGTTTCGACTCGCTGAATTTGGACTTGGTGATCCGCAAAGGTAGATTTCCCCCATGGAGGAAGCATCGTTCAACGCGTTCACCAAGTCTTTCTTGTTGAACTTCCCATCTCCATTCTTGACCTCTAACAAGAATACTTCAACAATGGTGTCAAAGATTACCTCCAGTTCTGACGAACCCATCTTTGATGTCTGCATTGGCCCATAATTATCAATTGTTTGGAGAGGAAGAAGATGATGGCTGTGCCAAAAGATAGATGAGGCACATGAGGGCAATGAACTCATTGAACTGAATCCCCCCACTTCCATCAAACAGATCTTCCACCTCCAACTCCTTGAGGTTAAGCAGCTGCAGGTTCTCTAGGCAATTCTTCAGTTCCTGAAGGTCGATGCTGCCCATTTTTATCTGATAGATGGATAGATACAGGAGAACATTTTACAATGAAAGATAATTAACAATAACACAGGGACAGAGAGAGCAAATGTCCTTTTACATTACCAAACTTTTGGAAAACGACCCGATGGTTTTGAGGTGTTGTTTGAATTGAGGGAACCTCATGATTATGATGTTAATCTCTTGAATTCTATCATCCTCTTTTCGAGCCCTTCTAGTGTGCTCTATAGCACCCATGCTATAAAAAACAAAAACAAAAAGGTGACCTGTTGAGGAGGTAAACCCACTAAATGACTGGTCCCACATCATTAATGGCAATTTTGTAAATAATGAATCAATGTATACAAGTGTAGGTACAAATTAGAGTTGTACCATATCGTATAGATACAAGTTTCAGCTGTACCATTGAAGAATTTGTTTCACAAAGTGTAGGTACAACTTAAAGTTGTACCATTAGTATAGGAACAATTTTGAGCTGTACCATGAAGGGATTTATTAGAATGTGTAGGTACAACTTAAAATTGTACCATGTTATAGGTACAAGTTTGGGTAGTACCATAAAAGAATTTTGAGAAAGTGTAGGTACAACTTAAGGTTGTACCATTAGTATAGGTACAATTTTTAGTTGTACCATAAAGGGATTTGTTAGAAAGTGTAGGTACAACTTTAAGTTGTACCATTAGTATAGGTACAAGTTTGCGTTGTACCATAGAAGGATTTTTAGAAAGTGTAGGTACAACATAAAGTTGTACCATGGTATAGGTACAAGTTTGGGTTGTACCATAGAAGGATTTTGAAAAAGTGTAGGTACAACTAAAAGTTGTACCATTAGTATAGGTACAATTTTTAGTTGTACCATAAAGAGATTTATTAGGAAGTGTAGGTACAACTTAAAGTTGTACCATTAGTATAAGTACAATTTTGAGTTGTACCATAAAGGGATTTATTAGAAAGTGTAGGTACAACTTAAAATTGTACCATGTTATAGGTACAAGTTTGGGTTGTACCATAGAAGGATTTTGAAAAAGTGTAGGTACAACTTAAGGTTGTACCATTAGTATAGGTACAATTTTTAGTTGTACCATAAAGGGATTTTTTAGAAAGTGTATGTACAACTTAAGGTTGTACCATTAGTATAGGTCAATTTTTAGTTGTACCATAAGGGATTTGTTAGAAAGTGTAGGTACCACATAAAGTTGTACCATGGTATAGGTACAAGTTTGGGTTGTACCATAGAAGGATTTTGAAAAAGTGTAGGTACAACTTAAAGTTGTACCATTAGTATAGGTACAATTTTTAGTTGTACCATAAAGAGATTTATTAGAAAGTGTAGGTACAACTTAAAGTTGTACCATTAGTATAGGTACAATTTTGAGTTGTACCATAGAGGGATTTGTTAGAAAGTGTAGGTACAACTTAAAGTTGTACCATAGTATAGGTACAAGTTTGGGTTGTACCATAGAAGGATTTTGAAAAAGTGTAGGTACAACTAAAAGTTGTACCATTAGTATAGGTAAAATTTTTAGTTGTACCATAAAGGGATTTGTTAGAAAGTGTAGGTACAACTTAAAGTTGTACCATGGTATAGGTACAAGTTTGGGTTGTACAATAAAAGAATTTTGAGAAAGTGTAGGTACAACTTAAGGTTGTACCATTAGTATAGGTACAATTTTTAGTTGTACCATAAAGGGATTTGTTAGAAAGTGTAGGTACAACTTAAAGTTGTACCATGGTATAGGTACAAGTTTGGGTTGTACCATAGAAGGATTTTGAGAAAGTGTAGGTACAACTAAAAGTTGTACCATTAGTATAGGTACAATTTTGAGTTGTACCATAGAGGGATTTGTTAGAAAGTGTAGGTACAACATTAAGTTGTACCATAGTGTATAGGTACAATTTTGAATTGTACCATACCATAGAAGATTTTTAGGAAAGTGTAGGTACAACTTTAAGTTTAGTGTAAAGGTACAACTCTAGAAAGTGTAGGTACATCTTAATTCCACGGCTGTTATTTTGACAAAATGAGCTGTGCGAACGTTTGAGTGGCAGCTGTGTGTTTCAATTGAATGTGAGATTTTGACGGGCGTGACAATGTCAAGTAGTAGCCGTGAAATTTCCTGGGATAGTGAGAACTGCTCTTTGCATGTCACGGGACATCTCACGGTCGTGATATTTGCCTGAGGAATGAAACACTGCTTTTTACATCTCACTTGAGTATTTTACGGTCGTGAGATTACCAGTATAAGGTGTCAGATTTCCAGTAGGAGACTTTCACCTGTGGAACATCTCACGGCTTATTCTCACGCCCGTGAGAATTAACAGATGAGCCGTGAGAAGTACAGCATTCAAATCCAAAACACGGCTTATCTCACGGCCGTGATACTGTCGAAGGCAACCCGTGAAAACCTCTGGGAAACTGAGAAGTGCGTTTTTACATCCACGGTCTCTCTCACGGCCTATCTCACGGCCGTGATATTTCCAGAATTACAAATCCAAAAACACGCCTTCTTTCACGGCCGTGGGATTTCCAGAATTGGCCGTGCAAATCCAAAACACGGCTCATCTCACGGCCGTGATACTGTCGAAGGCAACCCGTGAAAACCTCTGGGAAACTGAGAAGTGCGTTTTTACATCCACGGTCTCTCTCACAGCCTATCTCACGGCCGTGATATTTCCAGAATTACAAATCCAAAAACACGCCTTCTTTCACGGCCGTGGGATTTCCAGAATTGGCCGTGAGATTTCCAGAAATAGTCTGCACAGACATTCACCTGTTTGTGAAAACTACAAACTTATGAAAAAGATGATTCATAATGTTCTCTAAACCTTGACACGAGCATTACATAGATCCATTCACAATGTTCTCTAGTAACTGTACATCATATCAGATGAGATACCCTGTTAACAAAAAGTAAAACGCAGTCAAAGCATTACATTTGTCTAATAAAACAAGCATCCATAACACGACTAAATCTGTCTAATTAATGCTTAAGTTTAGCTGCATGTAGCCCACACTAGTGCATCAGAATATTCTAATTGGAAAACATACAAGCACAAACGCAAACACACATAGCTAAGTACTAAGGACTTTGGTTGGCTCATCTTCACTGCCCATCTTTCTCGTTAGTGTTCTTGTCCTCGTCTTTGTTTTCCTGGATTTGCTCATCTCCATTGTCCTCGCTAGAGTCACTGCCCTCTTCCTCATTGGTGTCATTGTCCTCTTCACTGCTTTCCTTGTTTTGTTCATCGTCGTTGCCCTCGTCGTCCTCTTCACTGCTGTCTTCCTCATTGGTCCCTTTGTCCTCTTGATTTTTTTCCTTGTTTTGTTCATCGTCGTTGCCCTCGTCGTCCTCTTCACTGCTGTCTTCCTCATTGGTCCCTTTGTCCTCTTGATTTTTTCCCTTGTTTTGGTCATCGCCATTGCCCTCGTCGTCCTCTTCACTGCTGTCTTCCTCATTGGTCCCTTTGTCCTCTTGTTTTTTTTCCTTGTTTTGGTCATCGCCATTGCCCTCGTCGTCCTCTTCACTGCCCTCTTCCTCATTGGTGTCATTGTCCTCTTCACTGCTTTCCTTGTTTTGTTCCTTTCCTTTGTCCTCTTGATTTTTTTCCTTGTTTTGTTCCTTTCCTTTGTCCTCTTGATTTTTTTCCTTGTTTTGGTCATCGCCATTGCCCTCGTCGTCCTCTTCACTGCTGCCTTCCTCATCGATCCCTTTGTCCTCTTGATTTTTTTCCTTGTTTTGGTCATCGCCATTGCCCTCGTCGTCCTCTTCACTGCCCTCTTCCTCATTGGTGTCATTGTCCTCTTCACTGTTTTCCTTGTTTTGTTCCTCTCCTTTGTCCTCTTGATTTTTTTCCTTGTTTTGCTCATCGTCATTACCCTCGTCATCCTCTTCACTTCCCTCTTCATTGCTTTCCTCGGTTGGCCTAGGAGATAGTTCCCAAGGTCTTGAAAATTTGTTGTAGTCAATCCTCAAGGACCTCATGATCTGATGGTTGCATTCGATGATGTAGCGTCAAGCTTCCTTCTGTCGATCGAGGCGGGAGAGAATGAGTGCATTTTGCTCCAGAATTTGGGCATTCTGCCGACCCAATGCCTCAAAATGGGATATGTAGCTGTCGGTGGATGGTCCGGCTTGAGCCGTAGTTCGGTGATGTTGTGCAGGTTGTTCCGGAGTCTCCTCGACCATTTGCTGAACAACATGCTCCGATGCGTTTGCCTCATCTATTGCAAGAGGTGGAGCAGGATGAGGGAGGCCAACAATGCCTACCACACCATTCTCCTTAACCACCAAACACAGACGTGATCAATATCAGAAGCATTAGTTACATTTGCTCAATGTTCAAAAGGAACTAGATTAGGAGGCAATCCAAAACTTACACAAAATCAATCCTAGATTGTTTGAATCCCGACTAGTTCTGTTTTAGCATTCACTGTGAAAAGGAAAGTGTTGGTTGGAACATTTACCTTTGACAACAAATTTAGATCCGCAAGGTTTTTTGGGAGATTGGTTGAGTGGACTGGGCAATGGTGTAATGAGAACCCACCGGATCAATGCCAAAATGCCGAGCTAGCCTTGTGATGTAGGCACCTCCATGGATGGTCTTGATTTGTTTGTTGGAGGTCATCTTCTGTAGGGTTTTCAATATGACTAAACCAAGATGAATTGGGGGATCTTTTACCATAGAGAGGAAAAAGTTCAAATCCCGCTTGGTCACACTCCCCGGGCTCCCCTCCCTAGCTGCCACAGAATGAGCGATAATGTTGCGGATGATACGCCACGGGGGAAGAAGATCATTCCCTTTATAGTGGGCAGGGTCAGACTTTGCCACATGGTTTTTTTTTACCCTTGTCCACATAGCATCGACCGATGGTGCTCTTGGATGATATATTTTCTCTGAAATAAAACCATGTCCATCTGTGGTGAGAAATCCTGGTGGGTATATCTGGAGTGCCTCTGTGAACTCAGTGATGCTCATCTGTCTCGCCTGTCCTCCAAGGCGAAAAGTTATGTTGTCTTCGGGCTTGTCGAGGTTAAACTCGGACATTCTCTTGATGGAGAGAGTGCTGAGGAACTCAATGGTAAGCTCTCGGTAGATGACCTCATTGATGGAGAGAACCTCACACCATGCCGGGAGACGGAGGCATGTGCGAACGGGGTCCGCTGCTCCGAGGCGCTCTAGGAGATCCCAATCAAAGCATCTTTGCTGCCCAAATGGGAGGGGAAGGAAGCGCTCCA